CTGCAAAATTTACTTAAATGCAATTATCTTGTGATCAAGTGATTGAATTTTAACAATTTTAGTATTATTTGATCTGTCTCATTGAGATGGTTCGAATGGTACCTGTTTTATTAATTTCTGATTGATAGATTATAAGATATCGTGAAATTTGTTAAAAATTTTCAGGGTCACAGATCTGCAACATATTTATTTTTTTGATAAAATGCATGCTGTGAAATGGTGAATTGTGGCTTAAAGTTTGGTATAATAGATTAAGATAAGTTAGAAAAGATCTGTTAGATCTAATATATGTTGGGTCATTATATATGTTAGATCACAAAATTATAATCTGTGCTTGGTTGGTGATTATATGATGATGTTCTAACTAATGAAATATAATTCTATTAAAAAATTTAAAATTTCTGGTGATGATTTCTCAATAACTACTTGATCAATTTTGGTAAAAAATTTTTATTTTAATTCTGTAGTATTGTATAATTAAAATAAAAAAAAGTATATTGAATTTAGTCTGGTGAGTATCAAGAAATCATTATCAAAAGTTTTAAAAAACCTTAAAATATCTAAAAAAAAACTAAAATTGTGTAAATTTTTCTTTTTTTGAAATTTAAGCAAAAATTTCTCAACAACCAACTATTCAAATTTGACAAAAATTTTATTTTTATTTTATAGTTTTATAGAATTAAATAAAAAAAGGCTAATTGAATTTGAATAGCTAGTTGTTATGAAATATTCGTTAAAAAAATTGGCTGCAGCCTATTTTTAGTAACATCTAAACTTTGAACAAAGATTACTAAACACTTACCTAGTCAAATTTGATCAATTTATTTTTATTTTAATTTATGAGATTGTAAAACTAAAATAAAACACAAAATTAATTGGATTTGACCAAGTAAGTGTCAAGTAATCTTTGTTCAAAGTTTTGATGTCATTAAAAAATAAGCTACAACCATATTTTTTAAATTTTAACAAATATTTTTTAATAAAATTATATTTTTTTATTTTAATTCTATGAGTTTATAGAATTAAAATAAAAAAAATTCAATTGAATTTTATATAGCTTTTTGTTGAGAAATATTTATTAAAAGTTTAAAAAATTTTGGCCATAGCTTTTTTTTTATAGATACTTAAATTTTAAACAAATATTACTCAACACTTATCTGGTCAAATCTAATCAATTTTTTATTTTATTTTAGTTCTACAATTTCATAAAATTAAAATAAAACCAAATTGATCAAATTTGACTAGGTAAATGTCAAGTAATTTTTGTTCAAAGTTTAAATATCACTAAAAATAGGCTGCAGTCAATTTTTTTATAACTTTTAATGAATATTTCATAACAACCAGCTATTCAAATTTGATCAGCCTTTTTTTATTTTTAATTCTATGAAATTATAAAATAAAAATAAAAAATTTTGTCAAATTTGAATAGTTGGTTATTGAGAAATTTTTATTTAAATTTTTAAAAAAAAAATCTATCTAATTTTGGTTTTTTTAAAGATATTTTAAGATTTCTCAAAACTTTTGATGATGATTTTTGATAACCACCAAATTAAATTCAATATACTTTTTTTATTTAATTATATAATACTATAGAATTAAAATAAAAAAATTTTTACCAAAATTGATCAAGTAGTTACTAAGAAATCATTACTAGAAGGTTTAAAAGCTCAAATTTTTTAATTTGTTTATTTCATTAGTGTAGATGTTTTATGAACAACACCAACCAAGCATAGATTATAATTTTGCTGTTAGATCTGTTATATATGTGTTGATATAATAGATATAATTAATGAATTATATAGCAGTAAAGAATGTATATAAGGCCTAAGAGTTCATCTTGAATAATGTTTTGTATATATAACTTATAAAAGTTTATTCTAATTCCCCAAAAAGTAATCTTATAGTCCCGTGATCTGAATTAGAGCCCCATGACATAGTCTAAAGCTTTATTTGGCTCTAATAACTCAGACCAAGTCTTTTCATGTCTTCTTCTATCTTCCAACATTGGAGTTCAGATAGAGTTTAGCTGTTTAACATGTGATTTGAATTAGTTTAGTACTGTATTAGTTGATGTCTATTTTGTGCGACCTATATTTTGAGATTCCAGATTGACTTACACTGCTCTTTGATCACACTTTAATAACATGCATATAGAGAATAATAAGAAAAGCTCTTATAAAGGTCAAGTATATATAGAACCCACAATAGTCACATTTGCATTTGTTACAATCTCATTATAGTCATCTTGATTCTTTAATTTAGCCATATATACTATATATAAATTTTTACCTGCTTTAATCACAATCTTGTAATAGACACATGAAATACTTGATTTTAGTATGTTGTGAGGGGCTCTGTGACCTCTAAATTTATTTTCTTTTCTATTTTTATTTTTCCTTACTATTTTTGTACTTTTGTACTGTTTATAACATATATTTACAAGCTTAGTAGCACTAGACAATATAGTAATTTCATTGATTAACTATTTTGGTAGGATTGAAGGTTAAGAAGATTGTGAAAATGAAATAAATAAAATTTATTTCATTTTCTTCACCTTTTCAATGAAGAAAACTTGTTAACATATGTAAGATAAGGTGCTGAGCCATTTAAGCTGTAGCAATGTAAAAACTATAATGTGATGTCTTTTCACACAAATAAAAAGAACTCTTTTGAGTTCTAAAACTCAAAAACTTCAAAATCAATTATAGTAGAAGTTGTTTCCTGAAACTACTTTACCTTTGTTACCGGAATTCTTTACCTTTGTTACCGGAATTGTTCTCAAATAAATCCTATTTCCCTACCCAAAATTATTGTTAATATTGAATAGTAAATTAGTAATCATCTCCGTGACCTCATTATTATCAGAATCTAATCAAACATAAAGCTGATCATCCAAATTACCTGTGATTTAAGTCTCTCGTGCATCAGAAGTAATTGAAAACCTGATCTCAGCCAATATACTTTCCCATGAGGTAGAAACTGTTAGTTGATATTGATATTGCCATTAGAAGTCAAATATTAAATCACCAAACACCGCAGCCATCGAGGTGACATCACACGTGACCCTAAAAGTCACCCAAGAGATCTTGTGACTCAGACCAAGTCTTCCACACCTCTATTCGAAGCCTTCCACTATAAGGTTCTAGGAGTCTTGAGATTAATTTTGGAGTATTAGAGTTGCAGATTAAATAGATTAAGTGTTTTAGATTAGTTATTGGTTAGTTTTAGCCTTAAAGTGCTTAGCCACACTTTCACAAGTGCATTTAGAGAGGGTGTGCACTTACCCCGATATATATATATAGAGGGGTAAGGTTTTGTAAAAATTACTAAATATAAGAAAGGTCTGCAGAAAAAGTCAAACTAATTACTATAATTAGAAATAATCGCATAAAAAAGATCAAAAAAAGCAACCTAAAACCTCATCTATCTATGTATATTTCGGGGTCCTGGCCTAACTGTAATATACACTTTCTCTGGTTGACTGAGTAATATACAATAGAATTATAATTATAGTTTCATAACGCAAATAAAAACAGGAAAGATCTATGATTACACCGACCAACCAAAATTTAGAAATTGCAAACATGGTTATAAACCTACTTTTCGCCAATTGGTCGCAACAACTTAATCGTAGTACAGTAGTATTATAAAATGGGCACGATCGACCTGTATTAAAATCAATTTTAGGCAAGACTAACTGGATTCTGTGTTTTACAATACCCCCACCCCCCCTCCTCTGGGGTCCCCTCTCCATCATAGTAAAAAATTTTGATAAATATACATAGGACTACGGGATATTTCGGAATAATTTTATACAGTCACGGGTCAATTCGGAATTTTTTTTAAAATTTTACTATGTAAACCACAAATTCTCCTCCCCCCCCTTCCGGAGGGGAGAGGAGGGTAATGTAAAACACAGAATCCAGTTGGTCTCGCCTTACCACGGGATAAACCCAAAACATAGTGCGTTAGAAGGTTATGTCGGTATCACTAGTACATACGTACTATGTATCAAAAATTTATTTAATTTTCGTACACTGTTGTACTTGAATTGGTTTTGCGAGGTTCTGGAATTGGATCGGCCGTTAGTTACGAACTATTGGACTGGTTACTAACAAACGAAAAGTTAGTAACTATCAAAAAAAAGAGCTAAAGGTATTAAAAGTTGGTAACTATCAAAGGTGAATAAAAGTATTATGTTTCAGGGGATAAATTCAAATAACATTCCGATCTAATAAAATAAATTATCGTGCCAACTCTTATGTTATAGATTTTTTTCTTCTATTTATTTTTGTACGTTATAACATAAGCACAACAATCTCGAATTAAAACTCAATCAGCCAATAATGACTTGAAAATCATAATCATAATTCACGATAATATCGATATTGGATCATGCAATGCTGCTCGGCACATGTCAGCCAACCATTTGCTCCAACAAAACAAATTTCATGACATTAATCGTTGCACGACAAAATATCTTATAAATATTGTTAATAACGTTTCCCATTAAACAATAACAATTCTATGAACCCATTCATGACTTTGTTAACTACCGTTAGGCTTGTAACATTAGGTCATATTTTACATCCTATGGTAAACTAAAAACCACAATTACACCTTACAGAGACAAAATTTAAACAGTGAAATTAAATTTATTGAAGTCGATAATTGTGTTACTTAATTTTAGGTCACAGATTACGCCAAGCAGATAATCAAGTAGCACATTAAAATTCATACGTATGTCTTAAATTATCAACTTTAATAAAAGTATTTATACCACTCTTTATGCTGTACTACCTATTTGAGGAACAGCTAAACCGAAGTTAAGATTAGGGTTTACTGTACTTCCTTGTTGCAGTTAGTTACTATATATAGATATTAAGAATAGAATGTATGTAATTTGAATTATCGTATTAACCGACCTTTGAATTTGCGCAACAAATGAACTTAGCATGATATTTTATTAACTTTTAGTACAATATGTTAAATCTGATAACATGGAAGAATTAGTATCTGAAATTCACTTATTAATTAAAGCTAAATTTGAAAATGACATTAATGAAATTGCACGATTATTAAAGAAACTTGGTCAACAACTTTGGCAAAAAATTATTAAAAAAAATGAAATTACTTTAAACGTTGCAAATCTTTGTTTAAATGTTTATAAGATTTACCAAGCTGCCAACAAGATTTCCAAAGAAAATTTAGTAACAAACCAAGAGATATTAGAATTAAAGGACTTCTTATTTAAAGATGTGTTAAAATCTAATAATGATTTAAATAATTTTTTAATTTACATTGATATGTTTCATAAATCACTCAGAGAAATTCAATGCAAACAAGCAAAAGCAATTATTAATCAAGCTCAGGAAAAAACAAAGAAATTTGACAAAGTCAGCACAATTAAAGATGGATTTCGAGAACTTAATTTATCATTGCAAAAATTACTTAGCGACATCATACAGCTTGCTATTGATGTTCTTGGAGATGACAGTATTAATAAAAAAAATTTTTCGGTGTTACTGTTGGGATCATGGGCAAAGGGCACCGCTACACCATATTCAGATATAGAATTTTGTATTTTAATTAATGACTCTGATTTAAAATTAAAAGATACCTTACGTCGGATGGCATATATAATGAACTTTATTGTCATTAGCTTAGGGCAAACTGCACTTCCTTTTAATTTATTCCAAGTAGAAAATGAGACAAATGGTATCGATTTTGATGATCTAATGAGACCAGGTTTCCAATTTGATTTAGGAGGAAAGACGTCACTCGGACGTTTGGATAAAGATTATGATTTAATTCAAACCCCTCAACAGATGGCTAACTATATAGATCTTAATACACTCGATCGGGATCCTTTACTAGTTGCTGAATTAATTGATTGTGAATACTTTTTTGGAAATAAGAAATTGTATGAAGATTATAAAGAGATGATTGATAAACAGTTACGTAAAAAAGATACAGATTATTCATCTTTTCATAAAAATGTGGCTAAAGTTTTGCTGTTTACCGGTACGAAAAATTTGCAAGCAGATTTGGAAAAATATAAAATCAATGTTGATAAAGTAAGTCACGAAGGGAAATTATTAAACATCAAAACTGAAATTTACAGATTGCCAGACAGATTGATTGAAGGTTTACGATTAATTTTTATGACATCTGGAAATACTTTATGGGACAAAATTTCAGGATTATTAAAAAGTAATATTATTAGTAAAGAAGCAGCTACAAATTTAGAATTTATAACAGCTGTAGCACTACAATCACGTCTTTTTACTTACACTACAAATGATAGCCAAAATGAAAATTTTGGTATCTGGGACACAAATATAGTATCCAATATTGCGGAAGTTGAAAGTTTTTTTTGTATAGATGATATTGCTGACTTGGTAAAGTTCTATCAAATTGCAATACCGCTTTATCAATTTGTACAAACTAGTATTAATATAGAAGACAAAAATAAAATCAATACAAATGAAAAGTTCTTGGATGAAAGTTTAGTGACAAAGGCAACCATCTGTTTCCGATTTATGCTTTATAGAGAAGCTGAACTATTATTGCTTGAAGCAAATCTTTCAGGAGCAAAAGATGCATATTTTCAATTGTTTCGTCTCTATTCGCATTTAGGAAAGCCACAGTTAGCCTATGAATATTACGAAAAATACATAGAAAATAAATCATTAGATGTGGATGATCTTTTCAATTTAGGCTATCTAAAATTATCCTTAGAAGACCATAAGGATGCTCTTGAGTGGTTTAACCGTATACCCATTAACCTCGAAATAAATAACCAAGCAATGTCAATGGAATGTGTACAAGCTCATTGTAATATTGCAAATATTGAAGGTTTATTAGGAAATAAAATTTCCGAGTCAACTCATCTTGAAAAAGCCAAAGAAATAGTTGAAACTATTTCTGAAAAACGAGGTCATATAATGATAGATTATTATATTAGTTTTGCAAAATGGTATGCAAGTCAAAATCAATTTAACCTTAGTGAAGAAAATATTCAAAAAGCCCTTGATTTTGCCAATAATTTTTATAATAAGCAAGCACATGTTAAATTAATTGACATTAATCAGCAAGCTGCTGAACTTGCGGAATGATCCAATCAATTAGAACAAGCATTAAAATATAGAAATAAAGTAATTCAAATAATTAATACTTTATACGTAAATAGAATTGTGAATCGATTATTAGAATCTCATCTTAACCTCGCCAATACTTATTTCATCATGGAAAAAATTGATGAGGCCAAAAAGCAATTAGATTATGTTAATTCGTCATTAAATACAATAGATCACAATTTTACACGTGATGCGCTGTCCTTTAAACTCTGGCATGGATATATGAAAATTTATCAAGTAGAAAAGAGCTATAACTTGGCCTATGAGCACTATGAAAAGGCTATACTTTTAATTCACACTACATATGAAAAAAATATCTACTATAAACTGCAACTTGTTGAGTTTAATCTTGATGCTTTTGATACTTTAGTTAATTATAATGAACAGAAAGAAGGTAGGCAAAAATTGCTCGAAGTTATCAACGTAGTCACTAAGCAGTTCGGTGAGCGCCACAACAATGTTGCAAAAGCCTATTCTAAATTAGGCATTTTTTATTTGAATCAAGAAGAATACAAATCAGCTGAATTAAATTTATTAAAAGCGTATGACATATATGAACAATTACCTAAAATTTATATTGATTATTTAATCACATTGAAGAATTTGATAAAAGTTTGCCAACATTTCAATAGTGGACGCAAATTAGTATTCGTAGAGAAGTTTTATCAACATGCGGAAAAAATTCAACCAAGACTATTTCCAGATGCACTTACGTATTTTTTAGATTCAATAGAGAACTTAGTCGCTATTCGACCAATTTTATTATCACAGATCGATGATATATTGGCCAAGGTAGCTAATCTTAATTTGTCATATCCAGTAAAAGAGATTGAAAATTTAGATTATAAAACTTTAAAAGAAATGTTGAAAATTAGAGAAATCGAACAAAGGTGTTGCTATGTACAGATTATGGCATATTATAGAGAAATTCAATTTACTGAGACTCTAAGTAAACTTGTATCAAACTACGGTTTTAAAACTGTTAAGCTATCTAGACTATTAAAAAGAGGGGATACTAATAGACCTAATTTGATTGCAATGATAAATGATTATTCCGAATTAATAAATGATGGAAAACTCTTATTAAATGAAATACATACACAAGTAGTGCCTAAAGACGAGCTGGAAATTGCTTTGCTGCTCAATATTGATAAAGTAGAATCTACATTTGATAAAGAACAATATTTGAGAGATGCTCTCTTAAAACTTTCCATTAATGATGTTTCTGAAGAGGAATTTAAACAGCTGCTAGACATATCAGGACAATTTACTAATATAATTGACATGGCAATCGCTTATATTAAAATTACAAAATCGAAAATTAAGGAATATTGTTCATTTGTATCATCATGTAAAGGCACTTTTCGTATCTCACATCCATCACTCAAAAACGATGCTTGTCTTAATTCTTTTATTATATATTGTACCAATAGAGCAACAATTTCGACGTGTCTTTTAAACAATATTGCAAATACTGAAGACTTAGGAAGAGAATTATTTTATTTCATACATCTTGTTGGGAATAAAACATCTACTACTTTTTTTTTATTTATTTTAATTAAGCACGGTTTGTCGGAGGAACATTCAAATCAGATACTCAATGCCCTATTAAATTTAAAAATTTTAAAAAGCGAGAATGAATCAATTTTTATAAGTAGCTTTATCAGAGCCTCATTAGCTTATCAATTTAAAGGTGTTGAATTTTCTGATATTAAAACTGTAAGAGCATTTATAGAAGCATGTTCCCAATACCTAAAAGATCGTAACATACATGATTCTGAGTCAACATTAGTCATAGATATATATCGACATACTTTACATAAATTTCATGATTTTATTGATGTTTTTAATCAATCACATGAGGATATATTTTTTTTCATGCATCATTTATATTCATTAAGCAATATATATAATGATCTAAAAAGATCTGATCAAAAAATTCTTTTGGAGCTATTGCTTAGCTTGTATAATAGGTTTAACTTTGACAAAAATACCGCAACATATGCAGAAATACTCACTTTACTTGCATTTTCTGAACGAAATTCTTCCAATTACCATCGACATTTAGTACTTATTCAAGAAGCACATGCCATCAAATCCAGGTTATATAAAAATGATGATCCATTATTCGCATCAAGTTTGCTTAATCTTGCAAGAGCTTTTGGTGACATTAAAAATAATGAAAAGCAAATAGAACTTAGCAAAGAGGGTTTAAATATTTTAGAAAAGGATTATAATTCAAACTATAATACCCTGGACGCTGACACTCGAGCTAAGAAAGAAGTTGAAATAATTAATGCATTTATAAATTTGTCAGCTGGTTATTCGCGGGTGAATATCACTCACCGCATAGAGTTACTAGAACGATGTTTAAATTTCTATGATAGTCATCATCTCAATAGACCAGATGTTAAAGAAAGAATACTTTCTTCTCTTGTTAACGCTTACAATTGTAAAAATATGCCATTAAAAGCATTGGAAATATATGAACAATTAGAAATATTACATAAACAGCTATATCAAGAAGGAACCCAAGAATACGCAAGGAATGTTGGGTATAATTTTTTAAATCAAGGAATTGCAATTTCAAAGAGTTCAATGACTTTTACAACAGACCTTGATATTGCTGATAAAATGTCAGAAGAAAAGATCAGTAGGGCTCGCGAAATTGTCATAAAAGTACGTCATGCTATTAATAAAGCTATTCACTTATTTGCCAATTTTTATTCAAAAGATGATTACATTTATTCTCAAGCATGCGACGCTTTATTTCATAATGAACGTATGGAAAATGAATTAACAATGATGCTAAAGATGTTTGAAGCTTATAGACTTTTTAACAACGGAAATCTTGATGAGGCGAAACTCATTTATTGTGAGATTTTCGATTTAACTCTTAATCAAGGAGTAAAAAGTGGTGCATTGGTTCACATGGCAGATATTGACTTTATTAAAATGAAAGAAAGTAGAGTTATGTCTCAACAAATACGAAATAATAATTTTAAACAATATAATCAGGCTATAGAAATTCATGATTCAGCTTCTGTACAAGTAAAAGTTGCCATGGCTTGCTTTATTGACGATAACCATGAACAAGCGATCATATATGCCGAAAATTCTATTCAGAAACTACCAGAAAACCCGATTACTTTTTATAAAATGGATATTCCTATACTACCTGTTGTGCTTCAAATGGCGCTAATGGATAGAGATGAGATAAAAGATATTCCTATTGAATTTCTAGCAAAATACATCATAATTAACAGTATGATCTCTTTAGGACATATTCATAGTGGGATGCAAAAATTAAAAGAGTTTGCCATCTTATTATCACCAAATAGCGCAGCCATCAGTTACCTCCTACTTGGATTTTGTTACCTGAAGCAAGGAAATTTGGTAAATTCATTACAAGCTTTTGATTTTGTAAATCAAAAGGATCCCGATCATAAAGTAGGCCAAATAGGTTTTGCGTTAACTCAGCTTCTCATCAAAATTTATAAAAATATAGACGCTTCAGATATGAATATTTTTAAAGAAATTCAAACAGTTAATATTATTTTGTCAAGCTCTGATTTAACAAAGCAACTTTTCGCACTTGTGAAATCAGATTCTCAAATAGACATAAAATCTTTTGTCAGAACTATTAATTGTCAATATCCGCAATAATTTTCGATTTACGTATATTTCAATATCATATTTACCTGCATAGTCAAAAATTACATTATAATTAATTAGGCAAAATATTCTTTGTGCAATAAAAAATTTTATTATTTTCCAATAAAATTAATTTGACAAAATTGAATATTGTCTAATTTCCAAATGCCAAATACATCTCTGATCCAA